AATTTATTTGAGCATAATCTTTCGTGGGCTACAGCCCACTTCATGCTCAAATAAATTTGTTAGTCTCTAAGGTGCCACAAGTACTCCTGTTCTTTTTTGGATACAGACTAACACGATTGCTACTCTGAAACCTGTCACAAAGGTACTGACACCCTTTTTAGAGTTAATTTTCTAAAGAGCAGTGACAAAATCTTCAGATTGACTTGACAAATGTTATTCAGTCCCAAAAGATACAAAATGTGATGCACAAAGCTTAGAATAAAAGAACCAGCAGATGCGGCTGAAAAGTTTTAAATGATTGGAGAACTCCTCTAGACTTTGGTAAAACTTACATTATATACAGATATCAATAGAAGCACATCCATTAAAACTTTACCTCATCGGAGTTTAGTAGTCTATCCTCAGTACAGAACAGAGGCACTGTGACTAACCCCATTAGAAATTACTTTAGAAAATAATCAGAGCTTGAAAATTAAGTGCCTTTATAATAATGAGCAGTATGGGATTTCGAAATTCATATGAAGCCCAGAAGCTCTTCATCGCTTTTTGAAGCAGTAATCAGCTCTTTTTAAAATCCTTGTCCTCCTAAGTGCCAACATGATTTGAGGAAAGAATGATTCTCAATACAAAACATTGGTAAAGATTAAATAATGTTGGTAATTTTACCATTTTATACACTTAATGTCTTATTGCTAAATAGGAAGACCATAGCAGAAAGGGGGAAATAAAATCACCAGGGATATGGACGAGTCTAGCAAGTGAAAGAATCTGCAGCTAATCAAAACAACAAATGTCTAGTACTAGTAAAGTGAAAGTGTAAAGTGACTTCAATGCCCGTGAGCTCAAAAAAAGAGTTGATGTTCGTTGGCAATAACTACACATTAATAGCCAACCCATTAATCTGTAAATCAGATTGAAAGTGTTAATTAAATATGGTTCTGAGAACTCTTGTAGGCTTTCTTCCCTTAGTGGAATTAATGAAATTTTCATAGTAGACAACAAGGCCAGAGTAAGTGGAAACTTTTTTTGGAGTTAACCTAATAAAAAATATTGCTATTGCTGGATTTTATTCAAACTGATAATTAAAATTTTGTGACTTTGGCATTGTAATTAGTATACTTATCGGTTTCCTTCAATAGCATATTGCCGTACATATTTTATAAAGCAAAACCTTTTTTCTTCAATTACATTTGTTTTTTCAAATTGTATTCAGTGAAGGTAATGATGCCTATAATTAAGATTCCCTACTACTTTGTCATAGGAACAGTGGCAGAAAGATCTGATTACTAGAGCACACTCCCCTACAAAGTCTGGACTAGAACCTATTATTCCATAGTCTTCACATTGCTTTGCTGTCTAACAAATAGCTGTGAAACCCACTGGCAAAATATGTCTATAGATGCTTGTAGTGGCAGGTCTACATACAAAATAACAGCCTTCTACTGCCACCAGTTACTCAATTAGCTACAGTGGTAGAGGATTGTGCTGATGTCTTACTGTGGGGAAGGGGTCAATATGGTTGTACATGACGATGAAATTTGTTTTTCTAATGTTTTAAGTTTTTAAAGAATTTAGGAAGAGGCATCCAAAAAAGATGTTAAAAGAACATTAAGGTTGCAAAGTCAAGCACTCAAATATTAGGAAATGCAAGAATTAAGTTTACCTGACCCCTTTGTACATATGCATTATAATAAAATCTTTTTGATTGCATATTGTTTTTTCCACAGGACATCTGCCTTGTTCTATGCACACACTGGACGATGCTTTGGGAATTGTTCGAGATTGTGTAATGTATGAATTTGTTGTCTGTAGGACCTTTGCCTCATTCATTGAGGAAGTTGGAAAGTGTTTAGTGAGTGAAGCAGGGGATTATTGTGGGAAGAGAAAGGATTGTCTCATGGTCAAGACAGATTAATGCTGCCCTGGAGAATTGGATTCTGTCCTTACATCTGTCACCTGGTGGGCGGGGGCGTGGTAGGACAGGGAACGAGCAGGCTCCAGGTTGAGAATATGGATGCTGACAGTTCCTACCTGCTCCTTGGTGCCTATCCTGGGCACCACAGCCCCTCCAGTTCCTGCTGTTGCCTCTGCCCTCCCACACATACATGAGTTTGAAATATTTCCATTGTGGAGATGGTAACGCTCCCACTGCCCACCACCAGTTCCACCACATAGTTCCTATATGGCGCTGGGCAAGTTGCTTAAACCAAACTATTCACAAGTGGCCACTAATTGTGTGTTACATGTTTTCTCGATGCCCAGCAGGAGACATGTAGGGCCAGATCTGAAGGAGTGTATAAGGGCTCACAACTGTAACAGAAGTAGAAGCTGTGCTATAAATGCATAAAATATTAAGTACTCTGAAAAAATCAGGACCTTGGTGTCTGAAATCCACCTCCCAAAATTAGTGGACACTTCTGATAATTTTGGTCTTTAGACTCAGTCTCTCATTTCCTGATCTGGACAATGAGGGGGGAAAGAGGGGGAAATGCCATCTCACCTCACAGGGTTGTTGTGAAGATAACTCAATGTCAGTAAATAACTGAGATACTATGAGATTATAGTAGAAAAGCCCATGAGGAAATTAATTCTGTATTCAGTGCAGTGTTCGGATGATGTGCAGTGAATACAAAGGGCTACACGCCAAATGATGAAGATAAAAAGAAACGTTAAATAGCTAACCATTTAGTGATCACTGTCTGTCCTTCTCACTGAATGAGGCATGGGTTCTGTGGAAAAAATAATATGTGGTCATGTAAATTAAAGACTGTCATGATGAACATGCTCAAACGGACTGAATTAAGGTTGCACAGGCAACCTTAATTCTGGGATTTCCAAATTTATGAATGCTTGGCTTTGCTAACAATGTAGTTTTGTTTATGTAATTTATAAGTGTATTTACTTGGAGTTTTGTAAATTAGAAATAGTTGAACAACTGCATGTATTTATAATTGTTCAAAGTTTTACTTAAGCAACAAAATCCTGAATTTGAAGTATCCACTTTCTCTTTTAGGTCTGGCCTGAGGATATTAGTAACTGACTTCCTGCATATGAAAGATTTTATTTTGTGTGGGGTAGTGGTAAAATGGAAGATCATGATCCTATTACCCACTCTCACTTTCCATATAGTTACTTAAATACTGATGTTTGAGGATGTTATGTGCTACATTTAAAATTAATTGAGTATATTAACACAGCCACATATTGGAAAGCATTTAATTTCCTACTTTAATTGTTTAGTAGAACTAGCTAATATATTTATTTTAACTGTTCCAGGTTCTGTATTCCTATTCAATAGGTTTTGTGTACATTTTATTGGGATTAACATGCACTAGCGGATTAAGCCCTGCAGTAACATTTTGTTCAAAGGTAAACACTGATTAATCTCGTTTTAAAATTAAAATGTTTAAATTGTTTTCTGTGTACGGAGGCCTCCTCACTGTAAAGATTTTGTTAATATAGTGTGTCAAGTCTTGCTGTTCTCTTAACATAATTTTCTGATCTGGAGTACAGGTAAACTTGTGCAATTTACAAATTAATCCTTTTTTAGTCCTTGATCAATAAAGTAGCTGAATTTTAAAAAGTGCCATAGCAGAGTTCATAATTTTATTTTTCCATTATTTAATGAAAATTAAATAAGAACCTTTGCATGAATGCATTGTTGAACAGTTTATTATTGCTCACACAGTTGATTAAAGTCTGTAGTTTTATTTCATTTTGCAACACCTCAGGGTTTGTTTTGCATTTTCCTAACAGGTTTTTTGTTGTTGTTGCAGCATCCAGTTCAGACTTATGGTTATGCATTCTTTTTTTCCCTGACTGGATATTTTGGAATATCCTTTGTTCTAGCGTTGATTAAAATCTTCGGTGCCCTTCTAGCTGTAACAGGTATGAACAAATTACATATTTAGTATATTAATATAAAAACAATCTACTCCTATTTTCCCATTTAGGACAAAGCTTGTGAGAATTGTTCTTGCTCTCTCTTGCTTCTACTCTGAGCTGATTTACCTGAGTTCATATAGCATGACTTCTCTGTTGCAGTATATTTGGAAACCAAGGTTCTTTCTAACCCAGTGCCTTCACCTAGAAGGGCTTTGTGCACAAATATATGAATACCAGGAACCCTGCTAGATACATAAACAATACACTTGACAGATCTGTGGAATCAGAAATACACACCAAAATATAAGCAGAAAGGTAAGACTTATTTGGGACAGGGAGGAAAAAGTGTTAAAATAAAATGGGGCATAGATGTGCAAAAGGCAGTATCATGCTTCCCAGACATAAAATCACAGCCTCTGAGAAATTCCAGGAAGCCTTTCTACATTTATTCTCAATAGACTTATGTAGTGCACTCTGTTTAAGGCCTTGAACCTGCAGACATTTATAATTAGATGCTGCTAAGGCAATAGTAAATGTACATTGCAGGTTTGGTGCAAAAAAAAAAAAAATACAAGAAGAGCAAATTGTCTTTTTAACCCCTGAAATCTTGCTTGGTCATCTGACTAGGATAACAAGATATGTTGAATTGTACATGTCAGGACTTAGATCAGAGATACAGGACATCTTATCCTATCTAACTTTTATTATATTAGTTTTGATTTGTAGCTTTTTTTTATAAATACAAAATAAGTGCTGGTCCTGTGCTCTAGGCACCCTTGACAGCCATTAAAAATACCATCTATAAATATAATTCCAACAGTCCATCTCCTTCATTCAGAAGTTTAAACAACAAGCTGTCAGGTAGAAGCAAAAGTCAGAACAATACTCTTCCCTCCCCACAACACCAACTCAACTTTCAACCTTCACCAGTTCCATCTTACTACATCCACCACAAAAGCCTGTGTAAACAGATGCGCTTTGTAGCATGCCCTGCTGGTCAACAGATAAAAGCTATTTTAAACCAAGGGAGTGTGTGAATTCCAAAGCTGAATACCCTGCCACCAGTTCACTCTTTTCCAAACTAAGGAAGTTGCTATTTGATTTCTTAATAGCAGATGGAAATCTTACTGTATATTTAGAATGCAACCTGTGTTGGGAGGTATCAGACAACACCTTCTATCAAAGATGCAAATAAACTTTGTCTAATCTTCCAGATGCTTTGCCCAACCTTACAGTGTTACTCCCATCTTGTTCCAGATAGTCCTTATATATGCTCCATTTTCTATTAGTATGGCACATGACTATACCAGGTACATCAGAAGACATAGTTATACTGTGCTGTGTCATCAATATATTGAAAGTACTTAAGTAATTACTAATGCTTCTAAGAGCAACATATATGCAAAGAACAAGAGAGGTGACAAGATGGAATCCTGTGGGACTCAAGAAGGGAGTATTCTAAGGAAAGAAGATACCCAATACCATTCTCTGTGAATGCTCCACAAGAAAGGAAAAAAGCCACCCTAAGGCCCCCTTGTCCTGTTGGGGTACAAAGGCACAACATCTTATGATCTGTAGCATCAACAGTATTAATCAGTAGTATTGACAGTATCATCTATAGATGGCATGGACACTTGACTTCCACTCATTGACAGGAGAAGATATACTAGCACCACCCATGCAGTCTGTATCCATACACAGGTCAGTACCCAGATTGACAAGTATCAAGGGGATCTGTGGCAATGAGACATCCATGACCTAGATAGAAATTCCACTCTCCCAACCACTGATTTCATCCCAGTAATATATCAAGAATATGCCCAGCTACATATGCTGAGTAGTCAACCATCTGGGATCGTTGTGTGGTGAGCATGAAAAGCTTGAGCCAGCTCAGAAGATTTGCCATCTACATAAATGTTGAAGTTACTAAGCCCTTAGTGCCACAGCAGCAAGGAACCTTACCTGCTTATGCATGAACTTTGCAGAGGAACAGGGTGATGTGCACACTAAAAATAGTTCAGTCTTAACTCAGTCTTGGAACCGACATATGGAATGTGCTAGCAATGAATTTTTTTCCTCCCCTTGCTCGGAGAAGAGGAACTGCAGTTTAAAGTAACGAAAAATGATCAGTGCTAAACAGATCCTATATGAAATACTGGATCCCAGTACTTTTTCCAACAGGGCAATATTAATTTAGTCCAGTGATTTTCAACCTGTGGTCCACAGAGTATGTTTAAGATTTCCAAAGGGGTCCTCACCTCCATTTGAAATTTTTTTAGGGGTCTGCAAATGAAAAAAAGATAGACTAAATCAGTGGTTTTCAATTAATGTTTTGTCTGTCTAACATACTTAATGGAGGATGATTCCACTGTCAGGAGTAGTATATTTACTTATCAATAATTTGTTTAAGCTTTAAATTGTTTCTAAAATCAAATGTATTACCAGAATGGCAAGTATGACAAACCATGATTTAGGGATTATCTGTACTAATTTACTGTGGTTTACATCTGTGTTCACTCAGCCATCATCATGGAGCTGGTCATAATATTTTAGCACATAGTGTTACTTTAATGTAGTAAAACTAGCTACAGCAAAATTACATCGCTAAGTGAACATTATTAATCTGTATGATCGTGACCTTGCAAGTCAGCAATCATAGAAGCTGCTTGCATATCAAGGTTATCTCTGGTTTTGAATGGGAAGGGTGTCTCGAAATGACTTTATCAAGTTGTCTCCAACACAAACAAGAAGTCAGGAAAGATTCAGGGTTTTTTCTTTCTATATCCCTATTTCCAAAATCCTTTTTAAATTAATGCTCCGTGTCATAGTCGACTATGACACAGTCACACCCAGAGCTGTTTAAAACAAGGGAATTGTTAGACTTCGAGAGGGTAAAATTTCATTTGGATATATTTCACAAGACTAAATTGTGTCCCTGATCCTCCTCCATTTTATATAGATGTAATAGCTGTGTGTCGAAAACGGTTACGTCAGGCTCATTTCTTCCTTAGGTTACCCCTTTTGATAAATACAAACATCAGTCACAGGGATTGGGGGTTGGGGTGGGGGGAAGCAGGAAGATGCCAGGGAACTTCTTACTTCCCTTCCCTCTGCCCCAAAAGCTGGTTTCTGTAAGGTAATGTTCTTCTTCATTTACCATAGTGGAAGGGAGAATATGGACAGTTTTGACCCAAAATATTAATGGTCTAATTTATTATAAAGCATTTTAATCAAGTTTGCCACTGTCATAGTTTGAGTTTTGCTTTTTTAACCAAGTTCACTATATGCATTGATTTCAAATGAGCACAGATGAGAAGAGTTGTTTCATGCCTTAAAACAGTTTTTAAAAAGTGTATTTTACTGTGTTAAAGAATGCTGTGGAATAGTAAAACCTTCCCAGGAATTCTGTGCCTTGACCTTGACAGTCTTAGCACTCTAGCCCTTTCTACTTTGCCTGTAGCAATGGGGAAATGTTTACCATGCCTTGGAAGAGCATCACATTCATTACTGCCCCCCGACTACCCCCATATTGAGCAAGAGGGGGAAAAGAATTTAATGAAAATTGTATTTCTATTAGCAGAATGAGAAATTATCAGACTTAATTGGAAAAAAGAGAAAGCACTTAATTTAGAAGGAAATGGTTACATAAATATTTTAATTAATAACTAATTTGGTGAAAGAACAGAAATAATAGTACTTAGAAAAACTCATGTAATTTAACCATTTTTAAATTATTCATCTAAACTCTTTTCTAATTAAAACTCAATTTTCTTTTTTATTCCCTTCATTTTTCATTAATTGAAAATGATTTTATTTGATATGCATAAACTTCTTAAAATGTAAAGATAATTACTAAAAAAGTTGAGATCAGGTGAAGATAAAGCAAAGGTACAAGAGAATACTTCTGCCCATGTTAATCCTAGTTTTAAGAGAACACTTGTGGAAAAATGTAAGATTCACCTGACCATCTATGAGTGTTATTGTTGAGTAGTTTCCTATTTGACTACTATATAAACAGTTATGCTGTCAGAACATGACCATGTAGACTAGATAATTCATATGATATTTCAATGCAATTTATGGAAGTTGTGGTTAATTTTGGCATAATCCAGCAGGTTATAGCTTTACCTAAATCTGTCCTCATAAACAACAATTCAGATTTTCTTTAGTGACAAGATCGCAGGTAGGCAGAGATTAGTGAAATAGTACATGTGGCCTTCTGAAATCCATTGTCCCGTTCAGTGTCCTGACCAGAGTTATTTCTCTGTACTGAGGCCTGCTGTTATGTAAATAAAACTTTAAATACCTTCAAAAAAGTTAAGATGCAAATACCTATCCCCTTGAAAATAAAACCAAAAGCAAGGATCTATGCCGGTAGATTCTGACCAAAATAAAGTAAGATTGTAATAGTAAGTATTACAGTATATCTAAATTTTATTAATAGTTTTAAACTCTTCATTTTGTTTTTAAAATGTACATAATCTAGTTCACAATTTCTACCGGCAACGGTTTCAAAGATGGTTTATCACATTCCGATGATACCTGTGATCTGGTGAGAGTAAAGTGAGCATTGGGATAACTGAATCTGGTTACTTTGAGAGTGTCTGTACTAGGATTATCTTTACTGGTTTTGCTACATCGATGCAAACCTCACTGTGGATGTGGTGCACCAGTTTCAAACCAGGAGAAGCCACACCCCCAGTGCAAACCTTATTTGACACTGGTCGAGTCATCTACCAGTTTGCACTGGTGAAGCTCACCAATACAAATATCCCTGCTATAGATAGGCCCTTAATTACCTAGTTTATTAATATCTCCTAATAACAGCTTTCGTTGGATTATAACGAGATCTAAATTATAGTTAACCATTGTTTTTCCTTCTGCAGTAACAACAGGAAGAAAAGCAATGACCATTGTGCTTTCTTTTTTGTTCTTTGCAAAGCCATTCACATTCCAGTAAGTATCTACTTGTCCTTTTATGGCTTGTGTATTTCATAAAATCAGGTTCTTGATTACTGAAATTAAATAATATTACCAGTTAACCATCAAAATGTTTGAGTAAGATTTTCTTCTCATTTCTACTACAAATGTTTGAAAGTTGTTGTAAATATTGACTGGTTTGTTGATTGTTATGCCAGAGAGAATAATTTCATTTTTTCCCAAAAACATTAGAAGACAAATCCATTGTACATATTGGGAGTGGGCGGAAGGTGATGGTTTTTTGTTGTTGTTTTTGGGCGGGGGGGGGGGGAAAGAGAGAATTTGGTAGTCTAAGAAAATCTTATGTAACATCTAGCATTTACTTGTTAATTAGCTGCTTGGGGGCTTACTCTGTAGAGAAAACTTTGGCTAAAGAACTGTACTCTTTCCAATAAAATGATGTAGTTTTCTCCTGGTATAGGGCTCAACTTTGAAATCTTACTCAATATACTTTTTTATAACTAACCTTCTATTATCTTGACCATTAACTTGTAAGTTTGTTGGCAGTATTGACATAGCTTTTATTAAGGGTTTTAGAACACTTTCCAAAGGGTTTACATTGATAAATAAGGCTAAATGATTTACATCAAGTCTAATTATTTCTGGATTGAAACAAAATAGCATTTAACTTTATTGCCATTGTACTTTGTAACAAGTTGTATTGGAGGAATGTAAGCAAAGAATGCCCAAAATATTTACATGTAATTTAGTCCTTCTGAAAAAGGTGAAGTCTTTTTTTTATATACACACCTCTACCCCTATATAATGCTGTCCTCGGGAGCCAAAAAATCTTACCGCATTATAGGTGAAACCGCATTATATCGAACTTGCTTTGATCCGCCGGAGTGTGCAGCCCCACCCCCCCCCGGAGCGCTGCTTTACCGCGTTATATCCGAATTCGTGTTATATCGGGTCACGTTATATTGGGGTAGAGGTGTGTATAAACATATAAACACAAAGCCTAATGGTAAACAAACAATTTTGATGAGTGCAACAAAAAAAAAAAGGTGCTGAAATTAGGCAATCCAAAGTAATGATGGAGAAAAGAGCCCTATGTAGGAGCAGTAGTCATAAAATATAGCTCCTATAAACATGGGAATGTACTGCAGATTGAGGGTATTTTATTCATACAGCTAAGAACCATTACACTTAATTATAGCTTAGTATATGTGGGCAGGCTATGTCAAATAAATTTCCTTCTCCAGGCTACTTACCTAAGAGGAAGGAGAGAGGATAATAAAAATTAAAGATCTAAGCTAATACCTTGGCTGGGTCCTACCACTTGCTTCTCTCTCACTGGAGACCATCTTTTAGATTGTCAACTTCTTGAGGCAGAGACTTTATTTTTGTCTTGTAGAATATGAGGCACATCATTGGCACATTACAAATAAACTGTTAATACTATGATTATTTTCCTCTTTTTCCCCCTTCAGGTACGTGTGGTCAGGTTTATTAGTTGTCCTGGGTATATTTCTGAATGTTTACAGTAAGAATATGGATAAAATCAAGCTGCCTTCGCTACGAGGTCTTTGGAACAAAACTGCGGAAGAAAGAAAGACACGGACGTTGTCACAAACTGTGTAGACAATGGTTTTATGCCATGTCTTGAATCTGACTTATTTTATTGGAACAGTCTTCAACTGGTTCACTTTCCACAGGGAACATTATTAAAACCAAAGGAGCTGAAGGCATATTGTCTGCTTGCAGATGATTTGACATGAACAGTTTTATGTGAGCCTTCTCTTCAGAGCACTTGAATTCGTCATAGGTGTTATATACCATTGTCAGAAGGCATTATCAAGCCAATGAAGGAAAGCAACTCCTGGCAGACTGCTGAAAAACTATGCTCCAAATGGGGGACAGTAGAATATTAATTTGAGCGTTTTTATCATATCAGATGTGGCTGATTTGAGATGAGTGGTTGTTTGTTTTTATTGTTGGGTTGGGATTATTTAAAAGTAATATTGTATTAACACTTAATGGAAGCTAATCAGCTACTGATTGACCAAATTGAAATTTTAAAGTTGGAAGAGGTAGAATACGGTATGTCATGATTTTTCATTTTAAATAAAAATTCAGTTTAAGTTCTTGATGAGCTTCTCAACATTGTACATTTGTTAATATAATTGGCATTTCTGTTGAAATCAGAATCTGATTGATTTAAATTTGAGATTGAAAGAATCATGATTTTTTTTTCCATTCCCCCCCCCCATCCAGCTTTTAAAAATTATTAAAAAGTGCACATAGACATTGCTGTTAAACCTAATGTGGGGGGAAAAAGTACCAAGATCTGTATCTGCTTGCAATACTATCTCACCATCAGAGGAGTTGTCTGCTGCTTACTGTACTGGTGTAAAACAGTGAAAGTTCTCAGCACACAGGTTAATATATTAAACATTATTTCTCTTCACTGTCCTCAAATTAAAGCTTTAACTCCAAACATGAGTGGATGACAGAGAGATTTTTCTTCCAGTGGACAGAGTGCACACACAGGATCTTACTGATCAGGAGGTGTGGGTAAATGAGAGACACAGGGATGGATTCCAGGGCTGCCCAGAGGATTCAGGGGGCCCGGGGCAAAGCAATTTCAGGGGCCCCTTCCATTAAAAAAAAGTTGCAATACTATAGAATACTATATTCTCATGGGGGGCCCCTGTGGGGCGGCCCTGATGGATTCAAGGGGCAAGCTACAAACTTAACTAACAACACCCCTCCCCGTTGCTATCTGCCCATCCTCTCTCTCATAGCAGGTATTTAATTGGGTCCAGTGTGGAGTTAAAAGGATCCCACCATAAAACCAATAATTCAACTCACTTCTGAATCCTCTCACCTCTCTTCCTCCCTCCTACAGCCCCCCTCCCCCAGTAAAGACTTCAAGTCTCTCTTTCTCCTTACAGCAAAAGGTTCTTACCAGTCATATGTTGCAATAAGTTAAAAATTCCTATTCTTATTCCTTTATGCTGCACTGCACCTCCACAAAGCTATGAGAGGCAAAAAAAAAAAAAACCCCTCTGTACCCCTCCAGTTCGGCCCAATAGGAAAAATTCCTTCCTGATCTCCAAAATAGGTGATGTGTTAGACCAGGGGTCTCAAACACATGGCCCGGAGTTATTTCCTGCGGCCTGCCATAGGCACCAACTCCACCTGCAGCCAAACTCCTCCTCCTCCCCTCCTCCCCACCCAAGCACGCCACGTCCCCGCTCCTCCGCCTACCTCCCAGCGCTTCCCGCCATCGCTCTTTGGTGGCACTTAGGACTTTCCAGGAGGGAGTGGAGAGGAACGGTGATGTGGCGCACTCAGGGGAGGAGGCGGAGAAGAGGCAGGGGTGGGGATTTGGGGAAGGAGTTGGAATAGGGGTGGGAAGAGGCAGGGCCTCATGGACAAGCAGTCTGAGGTATGAAGGTCAGCATGTATGATTCTTTGCAGTGAGTAGTTGGGAAGCATGTTTGTTAAAAGTGGCAACATATTTTGTATGAATAGTTAAAAAGTTCCTGCCATTACAGCTATGTTGATAGACTGTTAGTGTAGATCATCATCAGTGTTATTGACCACATAAGGAATAGTTACAGGTGTTTATATTTTATTAAAACCCCTCTTCGCATTACAGTTTTTAAAAAGTTAATACATTGACTTTTAAAGCATACTATTACTCTTAATTTTTTTTCATTTTTGACTATACTTTTATATGGTTATATGAAAAGGTTTCAGTTATGTGGCCCTCGGGCCAATGTACTAGTCTTCATGTGGCCCTTGTGGTGATTTGAGTTTGAGATCCCTGTGTTAAACCCACAGCATCTTGGAAACACATCTCAGTATATACCTCAAGTAGAGGGAAGAAATATGGGGCAGCATTCACAGCAAGATGGGCCCTGGATGTCTGGAGAGGCTTTAAATTAATGTCTAATGTCCCATCAACTCCCCTGTCTTCCCCAAATGGCCAATGCATGGCAGAGAAGTCCCTTTCCTGAGGCACTCCCCCACATGCACTTGAAGGCACAAGGCAGGGCTAAGCTCCAGCATTTGAGGGCATCAGCTGTCCCCTCCCTTCCCAGGAGCTGGCCATCCCCTTGCTATGGTCCTATCATTTCCTTCTGCTCCCTGCCCCCCCGACTTCTGAGACAGGGAGGGGCATTTTCAAGCTATGTCTCCATTTTTTGCATGCACATTCACTTGCAAACTTGCACACACAAAAATTGAATGCAGTCATGTAAAAATCACACCCTCAAATTTTGCTGTCTGGAAAGTCTTTTCAGCAGTTAAGCATGCCCTTGCTCTGCACTGGCTACTCTCATAATTTGTGATGGAAAAATATATTGGATGGAAAAAAAAATTTGGGCAGAGATTGAACTATTCCAAAATCTTTTGGGTTTGTGATGTAAGCATTAGTACATCGTGAAATAGCAATCATTGCTGTACATTAGTTCTCACCATGGAACTACTATCATGATTTGCTGCAACTCTGCTAATCGGACTATACTGAGATATAAACATTTTATTAAAGTTAATGTTAAAATTATATAATACTGTTTTCTTAACCTGTGTCTCTGTACATCTGGGTATAGTGCTTAGATTATCCATAATGCAACGTTTGTTTTAAGAGTCATAAGATACATATAGTACATAATCAGCAATAACCCAAATTTAGGTGAATAAATTTAACACTAGTTTAGATATTAGCCTCCAGTTACTAATGAAAAGTTAAACAGAGTTGGTTGTGGAAAGCAAATATATCAATGAGTAAAGATTGTCCCTCAGTAATTGAGAATTTAGGGTAGATTGTCCGTTAGAAAATACAATCCATCAGGGAAGTATTTGAGTTACTTTCCCGATTGCGCTTCTCATCAGCACTCCAGCTCATCTCTCCTGGTATTGCCTACGTCCAGTGATATGTTCTAGGTAGATGTCCCTCGACCACCTGATGGCGTCCGACATCATGGGTTGCCCCATCAGCTGAGCGTAGCGTTAACCAATTCCACAGTCTCTCAACACTGACTCCTTACTGGGGTCCAATGCGCCCAGAGCTCCAATGATCAGCACATGAGTTTGAACCTCAAAGCCCCAGCTCTCAAGGTCTCATCCAGAGGAGCCTATATTTCCAGATTTCGAGATTAGGTGTCACAGAAGGCAGTGGTCCTGTTTTCAAAGGGAACTGTGACATCCACCATGATCTTCCAGTCCTTGTTGGTGATGATGATATCCTGTCGCAGTTGGCTGTCCGTTCCGGGGATGGCGGAGTTCACAGTGACTTCCCCTAAAGGTGGCAGGATGGCTCTGACCAGGCAATCTTGGATGGTGTTGTGGCACAGCTGCCAGGCTCTGGAATCAGGCTTGCAGCTACACAGGACATGGGGTAGTGTCTTGTTGACATAGCCACACTTCCTGCATCATTTGTCCCGATTCCTTTGGCGGACAGGTCCACTCAGCGGAATGCAATTGAGCTGGACCCTGTGGATGAACCTCCAGTCAGCAAATCGGGTGAAGCTGCCCCCGGGGAGGAAGTGGTTGCTGGCATCCCACTTGCATGTCACCTCAAAGGCCTTCCCATGATCTGGCTTCTGTTTCAGATTTTCTATGTCCTGACAGTGGATGGAATCTTTCACGGTCCTCCACAGCATGGATTCTAGCTCTTGGAGTGATCATTGTGTGCTCCGTGTTCTTCACCTGTGCCAGTGGCAGCAGGACTTTCAGCTCCTAGCATTCCTCACACTACATCCAGTGGCAGCCGATACGCTTCTCCAGTCGTTGCATAGCATTGCGGGCACGAGTCCCGAGCGAAGCAAAGTTCCCCATCCCCCCTTCCAAATTTGCCTTCCAGGGAGCCGCTTAGGTAGGAGGCGACATCTTGCTTGGAGGGGGTCCTTGCAATTCGCTTCTTGATGGCATCCTGCATAGCACTTTCCGCGGCATTCCTAACCGTTGGTGTCTGGGCACATCAGAAGGCGTGAGTGATCACTGCAGCGTCACACAGATCACCCATATGAGGGACGTTGGTGCCACCCTGCCTGTGTGAGATGTATACCAATTCATTGCTGGTCCTCTGAGGAAAAAATATCCACTTCTTCACTAGCTGCCTGATGGTGTTGTCTACTTTAAGAGGTACCTTCGCCATGGCAGATCCCCTTTAAGAATAATGAAATACGGGGAATCAGAAAGGTGTTCAAGGCATTGATCTTCTGCCATGGTGCCAGTAGGGAGGAGTCCATCCTTGCCACATCTCGTAGGATCTCTGCGATGGCATCCTCAGGTGTCTGCTGGACACAGAAACCCATGAGCATGCTGAGATGTTAGTATGCTTGCCCGTCCTTAAGGAAGATCATGGGTTCACCCTGGATCTGAAACGGTGTTGCCTGGACCGAGTCCCTTCTACGGTCATCAATATTCAGAAATGCACACTTCCTGGCATTGAAGCAGAATCTCATCCAGTTGGCAGCCTCGCTCATGACATTGCACATTTGTCGGAGACCTCTCAGGGTCGTCTGCAATCAGGATCAGATTGTCTGCATAGGCCAGGATATTCACTCTATTGCCATAGGAGGTCAAAACCACCTAGACCGCTATAGATAGACATGGAGCTGCTAATTCGAGCTAAGTTGAAAATGATGGAGCTGAGGGGACAGCCTTGCCTGAAATTCCTATCTATAGTGGCATGAAGCATCTCTACTTCCATGGAGCGGATGGTGGTGGTGCAGCCATCATAAAGTTCCCAGACTGATTGGCAAAAGTTTTGAGGGCATCCCGAACTCACAGCATGGCAAAAATGTGCTGGTGGGGCATCGATCCGAAAGCATTAGCCAGGTTGAGCTATGCTATGGCACATTGCTTCCGTGCCCTCTTGGCCATGTGAATGGCAGTCTGAAGGACAAAGTTGTGTTCATAACAGCCTTCGCATGAGCTGAAGGCTTTCTGGATGGAGCTGATGACTCCTCCATTCACTGACCAGTCTGTGATCCTAGCCGCTAGGCAGCTGGTTGGTGTACAGTTTGTACATGGTGGAACAGAGAGAAATGGGTCTCCAGTTGCTGGGGTCGTCTTGCTCACCTTTCTTGTAGGCGAGCACCATCATAGACTTCTTCCAGGAGCTGGAAGTACAGC